AACGGGCACGAGTACGGTGGATTGGGGGCCCATGTGGCATTTTGCATGACATTAGGGGTGCCGTGGTGGCGAGATGTTAACTACCTCGCCTGGTATACAGGAGGTCGTGGGTTCAACCCCTGACGCCTGTGTACTTGGAGTTTGCGTGTCTTTCTCTCCCCGCAGTCGTGTGGATTTTTCTCCAGGTCCTCCGGTTTTTCCCTCCACGTTTTGAATCAACATCACACATTTTAGAGTATTTGACTGCTACAAATTTGATAATAAGCCACTTCGTTGAGCTATCGTTTGTGATCGCCAGGTAGCTTCTGAGAAAGAGCTATACTCAGCGGGCATTACCTGGCTAAAATAAAAATAGTAATTAAAAACATGTTTTATCAAAGAGCCCCGACGCAGGTTGTTGACCCCTGGATGAGGCGGTTGTCCAGGCTGGGCCAGCCACCTCGGCATACGGCCCAGCAGCCCAAGGTGGCTCAGCGGTCAAGCGAGAAGCACTCGCGGTCGGAAGGGTCGCGAGTTCAATTCCTGATTTGGGTGGAGGGGTGTGTGGGGGGGGGGGGTGTTGACTGAGTGTATCAGCTTTCCACTGGGTAAGATACAAAACTGTCCAGGTGGCTCAGTGGTGGAGCGAGCGGCTCGGAACGTTTGGGAGTTCGAACACCTGGTGGGGAGTTGGCTCTGCCCAACATCCCTCGGGGTCAATACAATAAGTACCACTTTGTATGTACGTATGTATGTTGGACTTCTTTTGCACCGTACGTAGCCAACCGTGCTAATCGGCGGCGGGGAAGTAAGCTGTAGTTTTCCTATGGATAGACCCACCCTTGCCATACGAATGTCGAATTTCCACCACTGGCTGCAAAACTCTCTTGACTCAAATTTGCCTCTGGCCTCACAGCCCTGCCATGTGGATGCTCTCGACTACTCGACACTTCACCCCAACAGGGGTCGCGTCTCGCCACCTCTCGGAAAAGTTGTGCACGATAGTGTTTACCTCTGTGGCTATAGAACCAGGATCTTTGTCCGTTCGTGGCATTGTGTTCTCATTTATCCGTCACTATTACACATACAGAAGTGATATGCCATGTACATCATCTCGCAAGTTCATTTGTGCAGCCGACACATCGCTCCATGCTGCACAGGGTCCAAAACCTCGAGAGTGTAACTAACACTCTCAACAGATGATTTTATTTGATTGGAGACTCTGACCAAATGCTTCCAAAAACCACCACCAGTGCTTTTTATCTGAGCAGCCATGCAGCAGACGCCACCCTTGGTCTCAAAGTCAGCTGAGGTGTGGTCCTATCGAGGCAACACATCGCTCCCAACTCAGCTGAGCTCAGTCGCAATTGGGATACGGCCACATTGACTGTGAGCTAGCCGCCCACCCACCAGCTTGGCACCCCGTCTAGGTCAAGGTTACACTCGTTTGACTGCCCTCTGCTAATCCAGAGGACAAATCTCCACCGCGTGGTGCAGCCGGCAGATACAGTCGGACGATAGCTCTCGGCGTTGTGAGCAAACCTTGAGAGTTGCACCTAATGAGCCAAGGAGGGAGCTTTGCTGATGAAGGCAGTGGGAAGTGTGCTGCCCCCACCGCCTGCCCCCCACCATCAAGCCCACACCGCTTACTCACGTGGAGATATTCAACTCGAGCGCCGATCTCACCCGCATCAACGGAAATGGAAGCTTGCACCTTGGACGATTAGAATCAGAATCTTAAGTTCAGACTGCAGGAGGAATCCGATGAGCTATGAAGATCTTTTGCACAGATGTCCCGTGTGGATGGTGGGACCGCAAGTTACAACGATACAAAAAAAAACGATAGGAGTGCAAAATAGAAAATAGTAAGCAAGTCATTGAAAATAAATACGTAAATTATTCACTTAAACATTAGCACGATTGGCTACGTACGGTGCGAGAGAAGTTCACATACTACATACAGCCCAGTCATTGCCTTTGGGCCGGAAACTATCATGATTATCATCATCATCATCATCCATGGTCATTCCACTGCTGCACATAGGCCTTGCCCGAGCATCCACCACCTCTCACGATCTGGCGATGTACTCTAATTCACTTGGCACCCACACAGTAACTGATTTCAACGCTCCATCTCTATGGAGGACGTCCTGTCCTCTCGGACGCCACGTCCCATTCTTTTGGACGCTGTGCCGTTATTTTTCCGCGACCATCATCCACCATCCCATCTGTCCGTTACGTCTCTAATCCGTGCGTTCCTATTTATGTCTCGCTGTTATTCAAATGATGCATATCCCCATTGTTCTATGCACACATAAAAAAAAGTTCAATATTTCTTGTGTTTCTAAAGCACATGTCAAAGCAGGCCTTCCTTTCGAGGAGCTGCAATTCACATCCAGAAAAGTCGGGAATTTCAGGTTATTTAAACCAAATCAAACGTAAGTGGCTACATGAACTAGAGAACTGTCACTCCACTGCTCAGTGAAGGCCTGCCCCACCCGGTTGGCCAGAGGGAATGCTGTTTGGCCTTGTGTCATCTCCTCAGATTAGCACGGTTGCTACGTACGGCCGATCAGTCTGGGTTGGTAAAAGGGGCGGCAGGGGAGGGGGTGGGCAGTGCCATCGGACAGGTTCAGGTGTCACTCGCCACCAACGTTAGCCGTTGCCTGGAATCGAACTCGGGTAGCCGGGTTCACGGTGCAATGCACTCACACCCCCAGCAGCTGCACGCATAATTTCCTCACGTTCAACAGGTAGGATTTCGCGACAAATATTATCCGTAACAAAGGTTTTTTTGGGGGTTCGATTGCGTAAATTCAATACTGGCAAAATTGCCCGATTAAGCTGGATGTAATTACCAGGGAAAAGTCGTACTGAAATTGTGGTTTTACTCTCCAACACACCGTTGGCCTGAAGTTGTAACGAATTGAAATGTTTTGTTTACGTGACATACCTTACTGGTTGGCTGTGTCGGGTGGTGGTGGGTTTAACGACACATTCTAACCCCCAAAAAAACCTTTATTATTAATAATTTCCTCTCCGTTACGTTTTTTTTGTCAGTCCCTTAAATGCGGTGTGTTCCAAGTGTATACGAACACCTCATCATTGACACTAAAACCTCATCGCTCTCGCGATTACCACTGCTTTTTAACAGAAGCATTCGCTGTGTGTTGGCTAACGTTCTGAGCCACGACCCTTCTTCAGGGCACCGATGGAACTAAAATGCCTTCACACCGGTGGTCACGTACAACGCCGGCTGATAAAATCCTTACCTCCCACCACGATCGCGTGAGCTGCGCACCGAGGACATCGATTGCCATTAAAATATCCCCCCGCGGAAACAACACGCAGTGCTTAACTGGATCCGTGCGCGCCAGGGGGGACACGGACACCTAATACACAAGCGCAAAATCCGAGGCTGTCTCTACTGTGTGTGACTGTGGCTACGATCACCAAACCATGGACCACGTAACATCGCACCGTCCCAAATCTACAGGTGACGGCGGTGGGTGTGTGGGTGGCTGAGTAGGTGGATGACTAGGTGGATGACTAGGTGGGTGACTGGGCGAGTAGGTGCATCTGCGTTACGGCAACTCTCAGGCAAAGCAATCGAGCGGCTACATCACCTCGAGCTGAATCTTCCCAACAGTTGCCATTCATAGGCCACTCAACAACAAAATTAAGACTTTGCATGCAAGTGGACGCGCTACAGTGCCGCTAATCTCCGTGGTCGTGCGCCAGCGCTGCTGATAAATATTCCGCGAGATGGATTTTGACTCCCGGCGTCCGCGCTCCGTGGGGGCTATTCAGGGACAGCGCTTAATGGCACGCTGAATTATTTATTTTCTGGCGTACCCGTCCCCGTGTCAATCAGAAAACCCTGCCCGCGAGCGATTCCCTCGGGCGCGGGGTGGGGTGGCGGGGGGCTGGACGGGGGGGGGGGGCGGGGGCTGCGGTTCGCCGCGGCCCCACTCGTCCGCCCGGGGGGGCGGCGGTGGCGGCGGTGTCGTCAATGGGGCCGTGCATAGCGGGTGCGTGCATTGCCATTAAGGCCCTTGCCGTAATTACTTCCAAGGTCTTGATCCGCTCGGTGCCAATTAATTGCTTCTAATCAGCCAGGTAAACACTGTTTAAGTATGGTGTGCCTCCACGTGCTTGTTGTCAGTGTTGCTTATCCGTCTGGGGCAGCGGTTTTTGCACAGGCCGCTCGGCTCACAGGCAGAAGGCTGCGAGTAAGTTCAAATCCCGGCCAGGCGTTGACTCAGAGTGAGTAAAATTGTAATGTGCGGCGCAGTGCTTTTAGCTCGCTCACGCAGGGAAGAACCGCAGACAAGCAGGAAGGCAACCGCGCGATGAGCCGGCAGTGCCAACGATTTCCCAAACACTGCAGTCCTTTATTTGTTAAGGTGTTTCAGCCAATTAAATCTTGACTTTAAGCTTTCGTGACTGCAGGAATTCATATTCTTTGGGTCTTTCGGTAAAGTCACGTAGAACACAAAAAAATTGCTCTACGTGACTTTATCGAAAGACCCAAAGACTATTTCAGCCAATTAATGAGTGTTTACATATGGAATGAAAAAAAAACACGGAGCACCCGGAAAAAAAAACCCACAAATGCGAGGGGACAACACGCTTTGCCATGCAAATGGAACAGGTGGAGTCCACATGTTTTGCTTGACTGCCTTCTCCTGACAAGCCAGGGTGTATGACACCTCGAAACATTCATAAAGGGTGTTTCTAAAAAACGTCTGTGCGATCCACCAACCCTCACATGTGCAGCCACCAGGGCCACCACTGCACGGCTGTGACACTTCTTTGCGGGACGCTTGGTTAACGCGTGACAGCCAACTGTGGTCAGGACGTCAACAGTGGTCATCATGTGGAGAGGCTGGCCGCCCCCATCCCCCCGTTGCGATGACTGTTTTCTAGGGGCGCCACGGTGACGAGACGTCATCTCCCTCGCCTGGTATGCAGGATGGTCATGGGTTCGATCCCAACCCTGAGACCTGCTGCTGTATATTTTGGGTTTTCACGTGGTCCTCCCCGTGGCCGTGTGGGTTTTCTCCGGGTCCTCCGGTTTTTTCCTCCACATTTCGACTGAACGCGTGTTTAGAGTATTTGGCTGCTATCAATGTCCACGTGACAAGCCACTTTGTTCAGCTGTCATTAGTGATGGCCAGGTCGCTTCTGAAAAAGAGCTACATAGCTCAAGCAGGCCTTACCTGGTGAAATTTAAATAAAGTTAATAGTTGTATATACGTGGCTGTTTGCATGCGGTTGTAGATGGTGTGTGGTCTGTGAAAGCCAATCTCGTAAGAATGTTTCGAGGAGATGGCAGCACAGGGAGCTTGTTTTTGTACTCCGCTCATGTTTTCGTACTGTTGTTGTTACGTTTTTACCCGTCCCTACTGGATGTCTGTGAAAAAGAGCTTTACAGCTCACCAGATTCCTCCAGTCTAAATAAATATTCGGTCTCTGATTCTTCACGTGCGAAGTTGCAATCTCAACGCGGTCATCATCGCAGAATAGTAGTGCAGGGCCCGGAAAACGGCGAGTTTTCAATCAAGATGCAAAGCAATGTGGCTGTGGGGAGAGGGAGACGCCCCACGGCCATTGTGCATGTGCAACAACAAATCCCCATCATCATTTACCTGATGAGGTGCAGAAGTGGTCATCTTGAGTCGTTTTACTTTCACAAATTCTGCTGCAGGCACCTTCGATTGGTGCTGGGCCAATCCCACTTGATGAAGAATGCTGGTGTGTGATTGGCAGCATACAGCACTTTGTTTCTATCGTCGGAGGGCGTCATGTAGGCTGTATGTGTGTGAATTGTAAAGCCTTTCTGACAAAATCCATATCGTTTTATTTCTGCCATTGACCCATTATTGCGATCAGTATTTACATCCCTACGGTGTTGCGGTCCGTTTCATGTTAACTTATTTTATATATATTTTATATATATATGTTAGCAAATGTTACTCAAGATTGCACGGTTGCCACGGTTATATAGGTGACCCCGTTTTATGTGGAGGGCAGACGATAATTTGTCGACTGCCGCAGAATCATAATGACTATTGAGCCACTATTGGAGGTTTGAAACGTGTTCCTTTTTTTTACGCTTGATAGGCCACTCGCAGCCAGCCAGCCATCCGGCCTGCCTGCCGCTCTGCTGTTTTGACTTAGCTCCCCCACCATGGTCCATCGCTCTCCAACCCGCCCTCCTCCCCGAGCCAGCCGTCCTCCGCTCTCTTTTTTTTGCGTCCGACATTACACGCCTTGCCCTCGTTGCCGCTCGAGCATCCGCCGGAACAATCTGGATCACGACTCGAGGTGGCGCGCAATTCACCACGTGTGCTCTGCCTTCCCCCCCTCCCCGCCCTTCTGTGTCGTTTCAGGGCTCCACGGTCGCAAGGGAAGCGAGCGAGAAAGAGAAGGTGAGCACGGTTCATGGTTGTTTTTTTCTCCCCCCGAGAAGCTTTTTTCGACGGTGCGTTCCCCCACAAACCCCGCGGCGCCGCGGGCACTCCTCCGTCAAGGGCGACGCGGTGGTGAGATGTTAACTACCTCGTCTGGTATGTAGGAGGTCGTGGGTTCAAACCCGACCCCTGATGCCTGCTGTATATTTTGAGTTTGCGCGTGTCTCTCTCGTGTCGATTTTTCTCCGGGGTCCCCTGGTTTTTCCCTCCACATTGAGAATCAACATCACACGTTCAGCGTATTTGGCTACTGTACATTTCCACGAGATAGGTCACTTCATTGAACTATCATTTGTGTTAGCCATGTCGCTTCTCAAAAAGAGCTATACATGATAAAATAAAATAAAAATAGTTTAAGCCAGCAAACCGAGTTCGATTACAGGGAAGGGCCAACATCAGTGGCGAGTAGTATCTGAAATGGTTCAGCACCCGCCACTATATCGAACCGGAATCTATTTAGACGGGAGGAATCCACTGATCTACGAAGCTCTTCTTCACATTCGTGGTGAAGCAAGATTAGTTGGCTCCCCGTGACCCGACGTTTGAATGCAAGAGGGCCTTCATTCGTCCGTGGCTCGACAAAGAGCTATACATTATTGAATGCAATTATTACTGCGACGGTTTACTTGCCGAGAATAACGTGTGGCTTCTGCAGAACCCAGCGGGGGCGGTGGTGGGGGTGGTGGGGGTGGTGGGGGTGGGGACGGGTGAGGCCTGCGGTGTGTGTCCCTGCGGGGGTGGCGTTACGCTCCGCGTGCTGGCAGCTTCGTCGGCAACTGAATGGGTGGGTGTTGGGTTCAGTTCTCCCGACCGGCGTGACCCGGATATCGCGCGCCGAACGGCACGTGGCCCGAGCAAAAGAATAGCCCGCCGGAGAGCCCTGCGTGCGACCGTGAGAACCGTGTCACCCCCAGGCACCGGGAAAAATTCTTCTCTCTCAAACGTTTCGGTCGGGTCCTCTTCACTTCTTCTCCCGGTGGTGATTGGTAGATGGCAAGGCCGCTTTGCGTGTCGGTGACAATTTCCAAGCGATAAAGCCACCTTCTTTGAGCTATCATTTGTCGTCAGGTCGCTCGTGTTATAGATTTACGTAGCTCAGCTCCCGGGGCCTCTCCTCAAGCAGATGTTGAGGCTGCTGGTCCGTGTGCAGGGTTGCGATTTCCGCATGGAAAATGCGGAAGGAGGGTTCAAATTTTCCCGCATTTTTGCTAAAGTCAACCGCAAACGGTGGAAAGACTACTCCTATGACCGCGCGCTTTTAACAACACGTTAATGCGTTCTATTGGAAAGGATACATCATGTACATATGTGTATGTGGTTCTTGTGCGGAAATGCGGAAATCATATATTCATTCCAATCAGTAACTCAAAGCCCTACGTGATGCTGGGCCTTGCATGTATCCTTTCCAATAGAACGCATTAACGTGTTGTTAAAAGCGCGCGGTCATAGGAGTAGTCTTTCCACCGTTTGCGGTTGACTTTAGCAAAAATGCGGGAAAATTTGAACCCTCCTTCCGCATTTTCCATGCGGAAATCGCAACCCTGTCCGTGTGGAGTGCAGTGCCCCTTCCAGTGAAACTCGCCCGTGTACACCCGTTGCCTGCGCGTGATATTCGTTGGCATCGACGCGATGGCGGTTATTTGGCTGCTGTAAATTTCCACGTGATGAGGAGTTTATTTGTCGCCGGGTCGCTCCTGCAGAAGAAGCTAATAGCTCTGTGGGATTTACGTTTTCAATTAAAACAGTTAATTTGTATGTGTTTTGTGATTTGCGTATCTTTCCTATACTTTGCGCTCCTATCCTGTTTTTCTCTTGTTGTAACTTTCTGAACGCGTACCTCTACTGGACATCTGTGGAAAAATTGCTTTATAGCTCATCGGATTCCTCCGGTATAATTAAAAGATTCTGATTATGGTTTGCAGTGGCAGGAGAGGATGTCGCCTTCGGTGCATTAAACCCTCGCGCGGATTTGGAAAAGAGTCATTTGGTATTGTTCCCAGCCAGTGCTGATGCCGTAAATAGTCAATCAGTGCGCGCCGAAAGTGGGTTGATACTTATTTTCTGTCGACTGTTGAATTAACTCTTTTATCGAGGGTGACACTTTAAGTGGGTGCTGATCTACTTCTGATCAGCGGGAGCAAAGCGATCTAGATCCAGAGAGCTCTCACACCCCGGGAAATAGATTTCTCTGAAAATTACTTCTGGTGGGGGAAAATGTGGGTACCCCCCCCCCCCCCATCTCTTTCGACCTGTCTGGCGCGAGTGTGGAGGATTTTAACAAGACGCAGCGGCGTGCTGCTGCTCGCAAAGAACGGGAAGGGGTGTGCCTCCCATCATGCCTTTGCACTGCATTGTCACGTGACTAGCACATTGCATGTGCAGTGCCGATTGTGAGCAGCGCGCGTCCTTTGTCGTTCAACCCGTTGTTGTCCAGCCTACGCACATTTGCTCGTCGCTTGCTCCGGTGCGTTTTGTCATCATTTGCCGAAAGCATTAGATTCGAATTAAGTGGGCAGGAGTAGTCTACGTTTTTCGAGGGGGTTAACCTTTATACAGCGGCTTGATACATTCTTCTCGTGCGGACGAGGGAGGTTTCCCCGCAGTAATAATTGCATTTAATAATGTATAGCTCTTTGTCGAGCCATTGATGGATGGAGGCCCTCTTGTTGCATTCAACGTCCAGTCGCGGGGGGCCTTTTTATCTCGCTTCATCACGAATGTGAAAAAGAGCCTTGTAGTTCAGTGGATGCCTCGAGCCTCAATAGAGATTCCTGTTCTGGAGAGCGAAGTGAGGGCCCTCCACCATTTCGGGTACCACTCAACACTGATGTCGTCCCTTCCCTGGCTGAAACTAAACAATAGTTTAGTTTTTTTACCAGGTAACGCCCCTTCGGCTATATAGCTCTTTTTTCAGAAGCGGCCTGGCTATCACAATGATAGCTCAACAAAGTGGCTTATTGCGTGGAAGTGTATAGCAGCCAAATACTCTAAATGCGTGTTGATTCTAAATGTGGCTAAATGTGGCTTCATTGTGTCGTACGCTAACCACGATACCACCGCTCCCTCTCTGTAGTGCCTGTAAGAGATTCTCTAATGCAATAATGGGGTTTAGCCAGTGCAGCCTAGACTCGGCACGAGAGCTTCGGTTTATTAAACTGTTAATCTACCAGACCACGGGGAGAACATGCAAACTCCAAATGCACAGGCAGTCAAGATCGAATCCACGACCTCCTGTATACCCGGCGAGGTAGTTAACATCTCGCCACCGTGGCACCCAGTGTAACTGGCATTGACCAAACATCCCGATGCTGAACAGATTACTTGCACGTTTTTCAACTTGGATCGCACACAGCAGCAACAACATCGCCCGCTACTACGAAAACTTGGCAAATATACAGCAAGCGTTCAGGGTCGGGATTGAACCCACGACCCCCCCTGCATACCAGGCGAGGTAGTTAATATCTCGCCAAAATCTGAGCAGATTAGGCCGATGGTTATTCACGGTGAGTGTGCGTACGCACGTGTGGGGTTGCACGTAGCGTTGACCGGCAGGGTGAGCTCGATGCATTTTTTAACACCTTTCACTTTTGAGTGAAAAATCTATTGTGGAACGATGCCGTTAAAGTACATTTTGTGTGAGCAGCTGCGCTCTCCTTGGGAATGAATTGGTTGTTAGCAAGCCAGCGTGATGATATACAACAGCTGTCGTAGCTTTCGCTCGCTCGCTGCCGCTGCTGCTGCTGCTGCTCCAATAACAGCATGCAGGTGATGTGGAGACGATTTATTTTTGCCGTTTATGATGCACTATGTCCACACGTCTGGATCCTTCCTTGCTATTTTTTTAAATACTTTTTTGTTTATCTTTCCACCTGCAATGTGCCGAGTAATAACGTAATGCTGGTAATAACATTTTAGTCGTTATGTGTACGTTTTGTCTGTGCGGAGCCACAGACAAAAGCTGGATGGCAGCAGCCAGGCAGTCAACCGTTGCTACCAAATAATCTCTCAAGCTCTGCAGTCCTTCCTGTGTTCACCCTTTCCCGTTCCAATGATGTATGTGCGTGTACGTCATTGGAGCTTAGTTGGAAGTTAAAGGCCATGCGGGGGAGCGTGTGGCACAGTTTGGCGCCAGCTATCGTAGAGTGCGGTGGTCGTGTCGCTACAGTTCTCTGCGGTGAGTACAATGTCTTCAAAAACAGCGGCGCTACGCCAAATAAATAAATAAACTCATGCTAACCGCTTGCGAGTTTCGAGATACAGCAGTAAACGGGGGACACCCACCCTGCAACTTGCAGACATCTCGGAACAGGAAAGGGTTAGGTATTCTTATTCTTATTAGGGTTAGGTGTTTTCAGCCAAGGAATGAACGTTTATTCAAGTGGGAGGACATCGGAGCAGCCAGAGAAAAACCCGCGCATGTGAGGGGGCAACACTCTATCCCCGTGCAGATGGGACTGCCTTCTCCTGGCAAGCCAGGGTATGGCTGCTACTCGATGCTCGCGTGAACGGACGTTGGTAACGGCCGTTCGATCCACCAACCCTCGCTGCCTCCCCGGCGCTAGATTACAGGCTGTGTGCATAGCCACCACTGCCCTGCTATAATGGTGGGGCCGGGAGAGGGCTCAGGAAGCGGATAGATTCCTTATGTGTGTACGTATGTACGTTGAACTTCTTTCTCACCGTACGTAGCCAAATGTGCTAATAAGAGGTGCGGGGGAAGGACAACAAGCTAAACACAAAAAGCAGTTCAAAAGAAACGAGTTTTCAATCTACATTTAAAAGTGCATAGCTCCCAGTGACTTCCTAATATCGGAAGGAAGAGTGTTCCAGATGGCCGGAACAGCGCATCTGAAAGCACCGCGCGATGCGGTGTCTGTCTCTGTTCGATGGCCAGCCGAAAGCCACCGCTACGAGGATGACCGGAGTTCCTTATAAATTTACGATGCACAGAGACGAAAAATCGTGACATTGTTGGGCTACACAAGCCGCCCTGTGACAGAGCTTAATAAATTGGGTCTGATTTCCAGCCACAAAATGGAATAACGACCTTTTCCTGGAAACAGGCTTTCAAAGCTGCCTCTGCTGCTTGTCAAATGGGTCTCATTTTCCCAGGGGTTCAGGAAATGTAATTGGAAGTCCCACTGTCAGGGTGTCGCCACATCGCAGTGTCCACCACCTATCTTAACTGCTAATGTCAGTGCCGTGTAACAGCAGCAGCAGTAAGCTCTTTTCAAGGCCAGAAAGGTCCATAAAAGCAAAATTAAATTTCCAGGAAATGCCAGGAAAGCCAAGCAAAAAATGGGTATTTCTATAGCTCAGTGGAAATGACTTAGTCGATTGATTTGGCTTTCATTTATAAAGCGCTACACTTCCCTGTCATATTGGCTTACGTATTCAGCTTAGTAAAAATGTTTTTTGAGGAGAAAAACAACGCGTATAAACTCGGACGCGACATGGCCACAAACTACAGCTCACTGGAATGGCTTATCACGTGGAAATTTATAGCAGCCAAATACTTAAGACACATGTTTATAAATGTGGAGGGATAAACTGGAGGACCCGGAGGAAAATCCACCAGACCATAGGGAGAACATGCAAACTCCAAATACACAGGCATCAGTCAGGATCGAATCCACGACCTCCTGTATACCCGGCGAGGTAGTTAACATCTCGCCACCGTGGCGCCCAGTATAACAGTCATTGACCAAACATCCCGATGCTGAACAGATTATGTGCACGTTTTTCAACTTGGATCGCACACAGCAGCAACAACATCGCCCGCTCGTACGAACACTTGGCAAGACATTCCTGAAAACGAGTCTTGGGATTCAGTGAGATTTTCCTGGTTAAAACTCGCATAATAAGAAGAAGAATCGTCTGGGCGATAGTTAATCACCGCTCTACGGGTCTATGACAGGTTGATAAGTTCACCAAGCGCATGTAAGTTATTCCTTACTATGTGCTCCATAGGAATAAATACGTTTAAATATAATTTTTTGAAACTTCTACAAGCAACGCCAACATTACTCAATTCAGTGGATGTAACAGCGTTGTTAAATTGATATTCATTGTTATATTTTCACGTTCATTAAATGTTTTTTTTTACTTTGAAGGCCACACCGTTCTTGACGAATGCGTTGCTTGTGGTTTAGTCCTCGTGCACCACTGCCACTTTGTTTGGATGCAGCCGTGCTCCGTCATCGTTGTCGTCTCACAAAATTGTCACCAGCGCAGCAAACATCTGTAAGTGGGTTTAAAAAAACATAAAAATTGCATCTAAACCCTGCTGCGGAAGTTACTTCGCTCATTAATGGAAGTAAAAAAAATCTCACCTTAACCATATTTTGTAGTTTAATTCTCAGTGTCGTAATCCTGCATTCCCACACAAATGAGCCCTAACAGAAACACAGATCCCCCTCTGGTTTTCTATAGACAACATGGTAGTGTGTCACGTGTACATTGACATGAGGCTTAAAACAAACGCAACGTGTGTTTTCATTGGCTTGACCACTCTCCGTGTGCGTTTGTTTGTTTGCTGTAGTGTAGCGGTGAGCACTGCGCCACAAACCCGGCGAGCCGAGTTCGATTCCCGCTCACGGTCAACGCCAGTGACGATTATTTGAACCGGTCCTGGGCCTCCCCTAGGTCGACTCAGCCTCAAATGAGTACCTGGTGCGATGTGTAAACATCGTCACTTGGGAGGCAAAGGCGGCCGGGCGTGGTGTTGGCAACCCACCCCCGTGTGTGCCGTGCCGGCCTCCATAGGTGCTGCTCGCTAACAGCACTTGCCTCAACTGTCTGCACAGGGGAAATCTTTGTCTTGCTTGCGGAATCTTTTTTCACGTACATTTTTGGCTCTCTTACGTGTTTTATTTTCCAAACCTGAGAAAACGGAAGACACGAGCGAGCTATCCATTATCTGCTGCGGAATGGTGACATTGCCAAGCGTGAGCTGCTGTTTGGAATCAATGGTGGGCTGTTTATTTTGTCAGTCGTCAACAGCCATGATTAATCACTGCTGGATGAAGGCCCTCCCCAACAATTTCTCCTCGCCGTGAGCCGGTTTCATTTCTGCGTCTGAACGTCCTCTCGGGCTTGTTTCCCCCTCCTTTGGGTTCCACGCCGTCATGAGTCTTAACCGTCGGCCATAATTGTTGTCAACTTCCTGACCCCGTGCCCCTACTGGAAAATCTGTGAAAAAGAGCTCATCAGATTCCTCCAACATAAATTAATATTCTGATTTTGATAATCTCTTGGAGCGACATGTGATGCATCCAGCTTGCATGTTGGCATCGGCCATGGTCTATTCGCTGCTGGATGAAGGCCTCCCCCAAGCACCGACCCATCTGGCTCCTGCACACAAGCTGACTTCCTCGCTCCATCTCTGCAGTGGTCTTCCTTTCAGGCGTGTTCCCTTCTTTGACGGCAAATTAATTAATTAAATTTTATTTTGCCAGGTAAGGCCCACTGAGTTATGCAGCTCTTTCAGAAGCGACCTGGCTATCACAAATAATAGCTCAACGGAAGTGGCTTATCATGTGGACATGTATAGCAGCCAAATACTTCAAAGGCATGTTTCTAAATGTGGAGGGAAAAACCGGAGGACCCAGAAAAAGAACGACGAGACCGCGGGGAAAACAGGCAAACTGCAAATACACAGGCGTTAGGCTCGGGATCGAACCCACGACCTTCTGCATATCAGGCGAGGGAGTTAACATCTCGCCATCGCGGTGTCCATTTGCCTTGCCCGTCAGCCATCATCGATTTAGTGATGCATCCAGAACAAATACAAAAGAATGTAACAGTCAATGTGATACATCTAACCTTGTATATGTTCTCTCATCCATGTGCTCCTCCTTCTGGCTCTCAGCGTAATTAAGAACATACTGCTCTATATTATGTCTGCATAATTGTCAGCATTTTAATCTGATTTTTTTCCATGCGTGCATGAGCGCAGTCAACATGTTGCCACATGTGAATTTAATAGGGGGGGGGGGATTAAACCAACGCGTTTTGTATTATTGTGGAGGGCTAAAGCCCTCCCCATTACCAATTTGTCACTGGTCAGTGGGGCTTTTCAACATTTAATGATGCGTTTAAAATGACATAAATTATGTAGACGCTATTAACGTGACGGCCGCGGTGAGTTCTGTCCGGCCCGTGGTGAAGCTGAAAGTGGGGAGGGGGGGGGGGGTGCGGGGGCCGTGTGTGACCCCCCCCCCTCCACCTCCCCCCATCTCCCCCCACCCCCGTGGAGTTTTGCCACGGCTCCGTCCAGCCAAGCGCCGACATGAACTTGATTTTGCGCCAGACTTTGGAAGTGGCGCGTCTGGGATCCAGCTGGGAGTCATCAACAACGACGACGACCCCAGTCCGGGTGAAACGAGGAGACTCGGCGGCATTCCACAGCCCCCAAAAGTTTATACGGATACAGCTTTTTATTATTTTTAGATGTTAATTACCTGCAGGAGGTTGCGGGTTCGAACCCGACCCTAATGCCTGCTGTCAAGTGGATTTTTCTCTAGGTCCTCTGGTTTTTCCCTCCACATTTAGACTCAACATCATGCATTTCGAGTATTTGGCTGATTTCATTTTCCACGTGATAAGCCACTGTGTTGAGCTATCCTTTGTGGCCAGGTTGCTTCTGAAAGAAAGGTATATAGCTCAGTGGGCCTTACCTAGTAAAATAAAATTAGTTTATAGTTTTGTAGTATAGTTATAAATAGTTTATAGTTTCGTTTTTAGTTTTCTTTTGGCGTTTGGTGAGATTCGGCGTGGAAAGGTAAACTTAAACGCCGAGAATCGTGAGCCACGCTTTGGATTTTTGTTGTTACGTGATGGTTTTATTTCTTACGCACTTTAGGTTTCTGTGAAGTATCGCTCCAGGCAAGAGTTGGTGATGTAAAATAACGTATTTATTGTTGTTAAATATATGCTGCATTGCCGTACTATTTCCAAAATTTATCAGCGTTATTCCTATTAAAAGTTTTATTTTTCGTCCATCGTAGAACGCTGTGAGAAGGACGTTACCACCACGGGGCAATAGTTGGCACATTGGACTTGCTATCGAGGTCGCCAGTTCAATCTCCCGGCGTGGCAGTTGTATTCAGTTGTGGCAAAGGGCCACGTTGCAACAATGGGCCACCAAGGTGATGAGATGTTGACTACCTCGCCGACGAAAACATACGTTGTAATTTCACCTCTACTTTGTAGGTATAATGATTGTGCGCTGTCAAGGGCGGTTTGACAGACATCATTCATCCAACAATGTGTTTGTGCAAATCGTTAGCTCTTTGTTGGAGCTGGACTCGGGTAAATTAATTATTTAAACGACGAGCGTAACAAAAAAAAACGGATGTCATTTGCAGTGGCATGCCAGCCTTTGTTTAAAGCTTTGTCCTCACTAATGCAGTCGAGTAGAACAAGTGGCGCTGATTACGACGCGCGGTTCAACGCAGGAGTGTGTACCGCTTTTTCTAAAAATAAAAACGAATCCGCCGACCTTCATCCAACTAGCGCACACATTTGTCAATGTCACTGTCTAGCGTGTGTGCTCTTCCTCACGTACACCCATCAGTCCGTCTGTACACCTTAACCTATAATGCGTTGCAATTGCGTCACGGCATTCACGGCGTGCCCCCCCCCCCGCCGACACTGTGGGGCTGAACTTTGTCGGCTCGGGCGCGGTGGCCCGCGCGCCGCGTCCTCCCATACACACCGCGGTAAATAAGCCGTCGAGAGAGAGAGGGCTCGTTACAGGCACGGGTCACCGCAGCGATGCATCACGGGAGTGATGGGCGTGTTCCAGACCACCTCGCTTTCCCCCCTTTTCTCCACTCCCCCCTCATAGCGCGTGTGTTTTGGCCGCTCACTCACTCGTGTGCGCATGCGTGTTTCTTCGCAGGCGAAGGAGCTGCCCACGTTCAAAGACAACGACTTCATCAACGAGAAGCAGAGGATCGTGATCGGAGAGGAGAACAAGAAACTCTTCCTCGAAAAGCTGAAGAGGGACGTGGAGGTAAACCCAACACCGCCTCCCACATCGTCGCCATCGTCGCTATTGCCTCTGCCGTCCAAAATCCATCGCGTGGGGGGGCGGGGTGACAATCCACACCGCTCTCCCGCACCTCGCGACTTCCTGTCGAGCAGCCTCGCGCCACGCACCCCCCCCCCCCCCCGCGAATTTCAAATGGCTCTACAAAATGTAAAACCGTCGTTTTTAAAACCCTCCTATATAAAATGGGGGTTTGCTGTACTTGAAAAAAATCAATCCCAGAGGCCCAGTGCACTGAGCCGACCCCTGTCCCTCGTGTTTAAAGCCATAACGCTCGTGATCACGAATGGGATATCCTGCCCGCCGTGCCCGACAGAGCGTCCGTGTTCACCCACGCCAAATAGCCCCAACGAACACGCAGCGTCGTGAAACATCCGACCTATGCAGCACAGCATCTTTTTGTCTTGCACGCGCCCGAGTTCATTTCATTGCTGCCTACACTCTCTGTAGCATTGGTGACCGATCGATAAACATTTATGTCCCCCCCACAAAGACAAAGATCCCCCGTGTACAGACTTTCGGGGCAAGTGCTGTTAGCGAGCAGCACCTATGAAGGCCGACACGGAACATGAGGGGATAGGTAGCCAGCACCATGCCCGGCCGCCATGGTCTCCCGAGTGGCGATGTTGACACATCATCGTCGGGTTCGTGGCGCAGCGCGCTGTCCGCTACGCCACTGCCCCAACTCAAGGAACAACGCGCGTAGCTACGTAGCGCAAACTACACATGCTCGCGGATAAAACAAACACTCTTACTCAAGATAACCTGCCAAGCCGCATAGAGTCTGTGAGCGTATACACCTCCAGTTATCCGGGAATCTAACCCAGATCATCACCAGGTTCATAACGCGGCGTGCTGACCGCTCCACTACACTGCCGCTCCCCCCCCCCACACACACACTAGCGCAGCACCAGGCACGGGCCTCGCAGCAATGCGCAGCTCGGGGGACAATAAACACCACGAGGTAGTAACCCAGTAGTGGCCGCTCCACAAGCACCGCGTGGCTCGGTGGGAAAAACCTTGGCCGTCTCTGTTCTGCGGCCATAGCTGCCCGCATCGTCCCCGGAGCTGCCTGAGCTCGCGGTGACGTCCAATACCCAATTTGGAAAATACAAGACCGGGAGCACACGGTCTTTATGTATAATGATAACGATGATACTTGAATTGTTTATCCAGGAGAAAAGCCGTATCGAGACTCAGGACTCATTTCCCAGTCTGTTATTGTTTTGACATCAAGTCATTCGCAAAGGTGTAGGGTCAGTCGGTATCCCTGCAATAGCCATTAGTTTTTTGGGTTTTTTTTTTGCCGTGACTGGCAAGGGAATTGGGAAAATTAATAACGCTCTCACTGCAACCGTGTCCGCCCAGGGTCACCGTTGTATAAGAGATAATGACTCGCCAGACGCTGGCCTGGTTTGAATGGCTCAGATGAATTGATTGCTCGAAATGCAATGCGATGCTGGGATGACCAAGCTTGCTGCAGCTACAGGTTTTGAACATTTCCTTTTCTCCTTCGCTCCACCCTCTGCATTGGTGATATCAATCTGGCGGCACAAAAAAAATAATAAACGTTAATCCCACCGTTTATAATTGGGCGTACGTGGTATAGAAAAATATTGCTTTCATCATTTCAACGATGCACAGCCTACCTGGCGGTGACCACAGCTTGCGTAACGCGCGTGTGGAGAGAATCGCACGGTTCAGCGTCTAGTCCTGCTGCCGCTGGAGCCACTCTCGCACCCCGTGGCTTTGTCCAGGGGATTTGTAGTACAGGGTGCTTATTATATCGTTGTATGCAGTATTCTCTCGTTTGTTGACTGTGAACTCACCTTGAATCTGTTGGCAGCTTAAGAAGATATGAGAAATTGCAGCCATGCTTTTATGTACGGAATCAATTTTACTGGTAGTAACCTCCTGGTTACACCAGCCCACGGGATTATTGTGTCCGTCCGTCGTGCAGGGAGGGGCTGGGTTGGGAGGGAGGGGCTGGGTGGGGACGGGTGGGCTGGGTGGGGAGGGGAGGGGCTGGGTGGGGAGGGGCGGCTCACCCCGTGGTGCCCTTATAAAACTCAACGTTTAACCTACTTACGCCGGCTTGTGCCCGCCCTCACAGTCGGCCATATTTGCGGAATACACCACGCCGCCGTTGACCCTGGCCATTGACCGAGCAACCCAACGTTACTACCAGTTCCCTCCACAGGAATGTGTTGTGAATTAACCTACCCTGTAAGTTAAGTTAAAACTAGAAACTATTTTTATTTTACCATGGAAGGCCCACTGAACTATATAGCTCTTTTTCAGAAGTGAGCTGACAAAGAGCTTTATAGTTCAGTGATTCCCGACCCGGGCACCTTTCTGCGTGGACTGTGTGCGTTCTCCCCACTGTTGTGCGTGGTCTTCTTGTGGATTATCTTGTTTCCTCCCATAGCTAAACAGAAAACATTCAGTGTGACTCCTATTGGCCAAACATCCCAATGCTCAAAGAATCACCCGCTAATTACACAATTTGGGATTACATGCAGCAGGAGCAGCAGCAGCAACATCGCCACCTACAGATAAAACGTCTTAAGACTGGGTGAGGCTTTGCCGCGTAAAAAAGTGTAATAAGAACAATAATATAATGATAACAGGATAACTTAGTGCACACACACATTTTGGGACACTTGCTCTTATTAAAGATGCAAGCCATGTCAGGCTGCAGCTGCATTATCATTACGGCTCAGACCCCTGGGCCGAAGCACCCACGCGTGAATTATCATTTTCTCCGATGCAAGGGTGCAGCTCGTAATCTACGCGACGTGAATATCAAGGCTGGCTGCTCGGCCGTTCAGACGGATTATACGGAGCCCTTGCTTCACACGTGTGTGCCTTCTCGTTCTCCTCCTCTCGCTTTATTATACCGTCTTGATCGGTATATTCCAATGGGTATTTAGCTTTTGAGGATACTCAAAACGTGATCGTCAACGGTGGCATGTAAGCGTCCATGTGAGGCTAATTCAAATGAAGTTTTTCTTTTATCATTTCAGTTTTTCCTCATTTCAGTTTTAAGAGAGCAAGCATGCACGACCTACAAATCACATTCTTTAGTATCGTGCCCTTCACAATACAATTGTCACATAGCACTTGACAGATGGGCACATTAAAACGTATATAACATTACATCAATACAAATTTAAATCAGTCAACGTAATAAAAGGTATACAGATTGGTTCAACAAAAAAAAAAACATTATCAATCCACTCCCCAAGCGTGTAAGCAGACGCCATAAACCGACCATCAAATAGTAGCGTCAAGCTGGCAGACAGATTAAGCCACAGGGATTTGTGTCAGACCAAAGAGGAGATGGGTGTTCAGCAACCGTTTAAATGTGCACAGCTCGTACGTACGAACAGAACGCTCATTTCCCGCTCTTTGTCATTCCACTGCTGGATGACGGCCTTCTCTACTCGGCCCTGGGGGTAGTTTGATCATAACGTCACCAGACCGGCTCCCATTTCACTCGCCACCGATGCTTGCCGTGCCGTCGCCGATGCTTCGTGGTGCTGTGCGCGAAATACTGCGACACCGCTCTATACCCGTAGCAAATCAAAACAAAAACTCACCGCCTTCCTCATGAACTCTCCATTACAACCTGAAGCTAAATGAGAATTTAAAGCTAAATTATAATTTCAATAACGATTTGGCCAATGCCATTGCTAATGACGAGGGTGGTGGTGATGTTTTTGGCTTGAGTTTGGCACGCCACTGCCAACCAGGGCTGGAAACCACGAGGACCCTGCTGCCTTGGGGCCTCCACCACCAGAAGGCCCTTTGCACCAGCCCAACGGTCGGTCACTCTCCCTCATGGCGTTGCCCAGCTTACCGGCTCCCACACAACGGCTAAACCAAACTATAAACACATTTTTGTTGGTTTAACACGTAGGCCTCCTCGACCAATATTATTCATAATACTCTCCAACACACGGGTGTGTTGGATTTTTTCTATGACACACGGGTGGACTTAAGTGGTAACGAATTGGCATATTGTTTACGTGAAGAATCCCTTACTAATTGTCTGTGTCAGGTGGTGGAGGTTACGACACATTTATACTTACGCGATCTAACCGAAAAATCTTTATTATTAATAAAAAATATATTTCACCAGGTAAGGCCCAGAAAAAAAGTGGATACTTATTGTAATGGCCTCAGAGGGATGTTGGACAAAACCAACTCCCAACCAGGTGGTTTGGACTCCTAAACCTTCTGACTGTGAGCCACTTGCTCCAATTCCCCCCCCCCCCCCCCGGATAATTCGTGAGCAATATTGATTTAATGATATCAGCTCATTAAAACTAGGTAATAGACCACTGGTAAAATGTAATATGGTGATCCTTATCATATTGCATTGGTATTCGACCTTGAAGACCTTAACATTGTTTGGGATGTTTGTATAAGGATTTGGCACTATACCTTTGGCATACATGTATATTTAATCATCTGTATAGTCTGGAGAATTTCATGCAATCTATTTACTTTGGCTCCTGCACTCAGTAAGGGTGCTTATTATATCAATGTATGCAGTCCTCACATTTGTTGACTCACCTTGAATGTGTTGGCAGCTTTGTATATTGACCCATGCCGTTAGTTAAGTTAAAACTATTTTTGTTTTACCAGGTAAGGCCCACTGAGCTATTTAGCTAATTTTCAGAAGAGACTTACCTACTCCTGTTCATCATCCCCTACGGGACGTGAGGCTACTTTCAGAAGAGACTTACCTACTCCTCTGGCTTATCATCTGCAAATGTATAGCAGCTAAATTTTAAATGTGGACGGATAAACCCGGAGGACCCCGGAGAAAATGCACGTGACCATGGAGAGAGAGAAACCCGTAAACTCCAAATATACAGGTGTCAGGGTCGGGGTCAAACCCACGACCTCCTGTACACCAGGCGAGGTAGATTACATCGCTCCACAGCAGCACCCCT